TGAATGGAATGGAATAGAATAGAAAATATGGATGGAATGGAATAGAATAGAATAGAAAATATGAATGGAATGGAATAGAATAGAAAATATGGATGGAATGGAATAGAATAGAATAGAAAATATGAATGGAATGGAATAGAATAGAAAATATGGATGGAATGGAATAGAATAGAATAGAAAATATGAATGGAATGGAATAGAATAGAAAATATGGATGGAATGGAATAGAATAGAATAGAAAATATGAATGGAATGGAATAGAATAGAAAATAGGAATGGAATAGAATAGAATAGAATAGAATAGAATAGAAAATATGAATGGAATAGAATGGAATAGAAAAGAAAAGAAAATATGGAATGGAATGGAATAGAATAGAATAGAAAATATGAATGGAATATAATATTATATAATAGAAAATATGAATGGAATGGAAGAATAGAATGGAATGGAATAGAATAGAATAGAATAGAATAGAAAATATGAATGGAATTGAATAGAATAGAAAATATGAATGGAATGGAATGGAATAGGATAGGATAGAATAGAATAGAAAATATGAATGGAATAGAATAGAATAGAAAATATGAATAGAATGGAATAGAATAGAATAGAAAATATGAATGGAATGGAATGGAATAGGATAGGATAGGATAGGATAGGATAGGATAGGATAGAATAGAAAATATGAATGGAATGGGAATAGAACAGAATAGAAAATATGAATGGAATGGAATAGAATAGAATAGAATAGAATAGAATGGAATAGAATAGAATATAGAATACAGTAGCTAGAGTAGAATAAATAGAGAAGAGTAGAGTAGAATAATTAGAGTAGAATAGAATAGAGCAGAGCAGAGCAGAATACAGTAAATAGAATAGAGTAGAATGAGTAGAGTAGAGTAAATGGAATGGAATGGAATGGAATAGAAATGAATAGAATAGAATTCTTTATTGCCCAAGTGTGATTGGACACCCAAAGCATTTGTCTTTGATGCATATGCTCTCAGTGTACATAAAAGAAAACCAAATGCATTCACCAAGAATCATGAGATACAACACTTCGTGATAGTCACAGGTTACTAAACCAACAATCAAATCCTACCAGGAAACGAGTAAATAAAACCATATAAATCGTAAAGATACAAGCCAGAGAGCTATATAGTCCGAAGCAGAAAAGGGAAGAGGTCATAGGAAGGATGAGAAGAACAACAGTAAAAGCCTCGGTAAATAGTTTGTGGGGATTAGTTCTTTAGCAAAGGCATTCGGGGAAAATCCTGTCCTTGTGTCTAGTTGTTCTGGTGTGCAATGCCCTATAGCGTCGCTTTGAGGGTAGGAGTTGTAACTATTGATGTCCAGGATGTGAAGGGTCTGTAGTTATTTTCACAGCCCTCTTTTTCACTCCTGCCATACACGCAGGTTTTGCCCGTTTAAATATTTCTCCAAGTATTTCATACTTTGGGGGAGAGGGGCAGTGGTGGGTTTCAAAAATTGTTGGAACCTACTCTGTGGGTGTGGCCTCCTTTGTGGGGGAGTGGCTTGCCACCCATGTGAAAATAACTACAG